ACAAGGGCAGGCGCTGACATCCAACAAAAAGAGGAAGTAATTTTATCGGAATACAAGAGGTTTTTCTTTTTGAAATCCGAAGAGAAAGGGTACAGATTGTATTCGAATACAACGTGTAGGACCTGCACCGTTTCAATTTTGAAAAAGGACTACCCGCACCGTTTCAATTTCGAAAAAGGACTGCGGCCCCCTCGGACTACTACTCGCAGCTACCGGTCTTACGCGTTCCTGGCCCTTGCAAGGCCCCAAAACCTCAAATGCCCACCCTCCCGATACCACCGACGTTGAAATTGACGTTGAACGTTGAATGTCTCAGGGGGGGAAAACGCATCCCTGACGGGCTGCGAACAAACCACCAGGGACGTACGTGACATCGATCTCGTCCAGAGGTAATTCCAAAGGGTTGCGGTGTGTTTATGCCCTTAGGCGACCGGTAGTACCGAAAACCCCAAGTACCTTGAAAGGCAAATGCGATCAAAGTTACCAGTGTTGTGACTTGCAGGTCGAAAGTCGACAGTGGGCCCCGCTGTTTCATTGTGGTTTCCTGGCGGGACAAAATACCTGCGCCACGTGGCAGGTTTCCATGCTCTAGCGTCCCGACCGATGTGTCCGACTGTGCCGGCCCAACACTGGCCGCCGGTCAGCAGCCGTTCTACCGAGCGGGAAAGGCGACCGACGGGGAACCGAGGTCCGTACATAGCTACTGACTTTTGGCGATGAAGTTTAACGGCGCGGCCATCGCCGCGCTCGGGGAAGCTTGTGTGTGTACTTTAATTTCGGATTGAAGAAGGTGGTGGCCAACGTGGGCGCCGAGAAGGAAACGACAAACAACGTGGCCACGTGGCGGGGCCATCGCCTCAGAGGCGGGAAGCTGGTGGTTCCATGCCCCCGAGAAGCAAAGCGGCAGGACCGTTGCCACGTGGCAGGGTCATGAGCTCGTACCGGCGATGTCTGCGGTCATTCCGGTCTGATGCCGACTGGTCTAGGAAGCAGAAAGAGGAGCCGACAAGGCAGGAGAGAGAGAGGGACGTTGGCGATTGCCATCTGCGACAGACGGCCATCGCTTCAAGCACGCAACCTCTAGTTGCGTTTCAGATTTAAAGAGAAAGGGAGGGGGAGGGCGGGCGGGGGGGAGGAGAGGAGGTGCAAAAAGGTCAACGTGCCGTGGGATTCGCGGTGAGTAGAGAAAGTAGCCCGCAGCTACAGCTATGGAGGATGGACGGACGGGTCCGCAGGTTTCCCCTGACAAGGACGGCGGCGTTCGAGAGGGAGGGACACTGAGTATTCCGGTTTTGCAGACGATCAAAGCCGCCCAGGCCCAGCACGGCCTACGCCATGGCGATTATCAGCGCTACAGGCGCTATTGCACGGCGCGCTTGCGGCGGCTTTACAAATCGTTGAAGTTCCTCCACGGCCGAGGAAAGTATGTGAAGAAGACGATCGAGCCAGCTATGGTGGCTGATATCCGGTACTTGCTGATTCCATTGTACTGCGCAGAGAGGGCTTGGGGATACGCGATGGAGCTGAAGCAACTGCCAGGGGGACCCAGCTCGCGTCAGCGGTTCCATCTAATCCGCCGCTTGACGAAGGCGGCGCGCTGGGGAGATGTATTGGCCGCCCTGTGCAGTGAGAAAGCCGATTCGAGAACAGCGTTGGAGGCAGAAGCATATGCCTCCTGGATGTGGGGGAATGTGAAATTGGAGAGGGAGGACGATTGGGAAGGAGCGCTGGTGAAGTTTTTGCGCGCGCGAACGGTGTACGAGCAGCTGGGCAAGGTCGGCAACATGGAGCATCAGGTGCTTTGCCGCCAGCGCGTCGAGGAATTGGAACCCAGCGTGCGCTATTGCAATTACAAGATGGGGAGAAGCAAAGGCGGGGATCTCTTGGAAATGTCGAGAGCGATGGACGGCCCGGCGCTCGATCTGTTGCAGTCGAAATTGGAGGCAGTGATGGCGGAAGACAGGGCGAGACAGGCGGCGCAAATGGAGGAGCTGACGTGGCATGGCCGCAGGATCCCGCTCAATAACGCCAAGACAAGATTGTGTATCCTCAGAGGACAGGAATTGGACAAGGAATTACAGGTTGCCGATTCGACTCCCATACCTCTGGAGAGGAAGCTAGCATTATACGATAAGATATTTGTGGAGTATCAAGAGGCGAAGAGACACGTGCGAGAAGATCTGAATGTAGCGGGAGGGATGGCGGCGGCGCCAAGGGAGGTGCGGGACGAGATTAGCACGTTGGATGCCGCTTTGACGACTCTGCTCCTACACAGAACAATCGAGAGAAATCAACTGCTGGTGAGCTCTGCGCAAGCGAAACTGCTCAAGCAACAGACACAGAGAGGGAAGGAAGACAAGGCGGCGGCGGGGGAGAAGGAGAAGGCTGTGCGTCCTGAAGATCTCGTTAGGCTTTACGATGCGCTGATCCAGAACGTGGCGGATTTGGCACAGGTGGAGGTGAGAGATAGACGGAGAGAGGACGAGGAGGCAGAGAAGCAGTTGGCTGTGAAAAGACTGTGTTTCCAAGCGTTTAGATGCTTCTACTTGGGGCAATCGTATGCAGCGGCGTCGAAATTTGCAGAGGCTTACTTGTTGTATAAGAGAGCGGAGGAGTACGCTGCGGAGGCGGGTAGGGCGGGGAAGGAAGGCATGATGAGCGGTGGTGTTGATGAGGCGATGATGTTGGAAGTGCAAGACGTTGCCAATCAAGCCAGAGCGCAGAGGTGCTTAGTGCACGCAGATGGGGCTATGCAGAATGCATCGACAGCTGACGGTATTGGTGGATTGGTAGAGAGAGTTGGTAGTCTGTCAATCAAGGAGAATGCCCCAACTGCAATGACCAAGGAAGGACAGCAGCAGGATCAAACGGCGGGTGTGTATCTTACCGATATGCTGGACAGATTCGAGTCGGCGGTCGGGTCGTCAGCAGCAGCCGGAAGAAGAGACGCTCCTCCGCGCATCGCACAGATTCCTCCATCATTCCGATCGGTCCCTTGCGAACCCCTTATGCTTAATACCGCGTTGAGTGCCATCCAGTTTCCATCGCTGGATCATCGGGTCAAGAAGAAGAAGAAAGGCTGGTTTTGGTAGGTTTTTGCAAGGTTTTGCTAGGTTTCGTTTCTTCCCTGCCTCCCGTCCCCCTCCCCCCCCTCCCCTTCCCCCTTTTCCCCAGCAGATTTTGGTAGGGCTGCTGTCGTCTGGCTGCTGTGCTGCCATACACTTTGCCATGAGAAGGCGGTTAGTGGTGACTGAGTTGCTTCTTCTTCTTCTTCTTCTTTTTCTCCTTCTTCTTCTTCTTGATGCTGATGACGATCATTGGGGGGGGGGGGGAGGCACTGAAGTGGGGTGGTTGTAGTCTTGTCATAATCGAGAAGGTCATGCTGCAGCTTTCTCGATGATCCCTGGGCGTCAGAGTGGTTTGGTTGGAGTCTTTTCCTAATTGAGGTGCTGGTGATGATGGTTTGCTGTTTTGCTCGCATCAGTACAAGAGGGAATGGCCTAGCCGACCTATTCTCCGATTTCTCTTGGAGCCCGAGTCAGCGATGGCAGTCCGTCCTATTTCATCTCATTTGTAGCCACAAAAAATTGATGTTCTATCATCATCATTTTTTTAAGGCGTTGATTCTTTCATGAATCTCTCTTTCACTCTTTATGTATTTGGATTTCAACCAGTTTATCTAATCCTACTACTGTCAAGTATCCGAGTTTTCACCGAGTTTTCACCGAGTTTTCAAAGAAGACAAGAAAGACTCTCCATTTCTCCCTCCTCAGAAGTTTTGGCCGAAACCTCTGACACACCTTCCCGCCTTTCCCGCCAAGTACATTTATGAATGGGTCCGTCCCGTAAGCGAAATCCCCGCTCGCTGCTGACTTAGTGACCCCTTCCTTGCGGTTCCGTATGCTCTTCCTCCCCTCTAGTTCTCATCCTTGCTCCCCTCCAGTTCTCATCCTTGTGGTTCCGTATGCTCTTCCTCGCCTTTCGTTCTCATCCTTGCTCCCCTGGTTGATGGATTGGCTGGCCAGCGAGTGTGTGCCTGCGTTTGTTTGTTGCATTGCTATTCGAGCAATTGGACACGTCATTCGGTGTATCTTTTGCCGCCGATTATTACATGAGTTTTTTTTCCTGACTAATTATTAAAGTGAAAGAGAGATTGTACATGCTCTCCTGGTTGTTGGAGTCGTTGTTGAGCGATGGGCCCTGTATGCGCATTCGTTGCACACGTGTTGCGTTGGTCGGGCATGTCATCAGGACGCGTTGTGCTGCTCATTGCACCGGTAATAGAGCGATTGGACACCTCGTCTAAACACCCCCATGTGTTTTCCTGGTGCTGTGTAATCACCGGCGAGCGATCAAGCTGTGTCCACGTGGCGCGTTGTTCAGGTTATAGGATCTCAGGTTATCGTCCACTGAGCTCATCAGGCAGTACTGGCGGGAGAGGAGGAGGGGGGGAGGAGGAGGAGTAGGAGGAGCAGCCGGGTTTGTTATGGACACCAAAATAGGCAGAGAGGCTGCCACGTATTTGCGTGTTGCGGGGGCCCGGAAGCACCGCAGGAGCAGCTAACTGGTCGGCCGACCGATTGATCAGTCAATTCTCTTTTTGGCTCTTCCGCTTTCATAAGTTATAACTTATAGCGTTGACAATCGCGCCTCAGTCTTTAGACTAATCCCATATCGTTTGCTTACTGATCTTCTCTCTTCCCCTCCTCATTTCCGTACCTGTGGTGGCTCGTGTTTGATCCAGAAGATCAAGGAAGTCCACGCAGTAAGTGTACGTTCAATCCTTATAGAACTTGTGCGCGATGGTGATGGTGGAACGAATGGTTAATAGAAGAAGAAGAAGAGGAATGGTGACAACGAAGAAGAAGAAGAAGAAGAAGAAGAAGAAGAAGAAGAAGAAGATGATGGTGGTGGTGATGATGGTGGTGGTGATGATGGTGATGGTGATGGTGGTAATGATGATGATGATAATGATGATGATGATGATGAAACAGTCGAAGAAGCAGCATAGTGGCAAAGAAGAAGAAGAAGAAGAAGAAGAAGATGAAACAGTCGAAGAAGAAGAATAGATACAAAGAGTGGCAAACTGCTTTGCGTACATGTATCGCAAGCTTTCCAAGTTCATCCGCATTTGCGAGTGTCAGAAAACGCACACATTTGCCTACGCATGTTTCAGCGAGGTGCGCACCTAGCACTACTTGGGAGACTCTGCCCGTACCTGCCTTGCGGCACCACCTTCCTGCCCAACAACTGAGTGAAAGGGCTGTCAGCCCTGGTCTCTTATATATAACCCCTTTTACGGGCCAGCTCTCCACAGTTGGCGAAGAAGAAAGTGAAAACAGGGGCCAACTGCCTTTCGTACACGCTTCTATAGACAGCATAGACAGCCGCGCATACTACTCTCAGCTTACGCGCGCACGTTCCCGAACGCGCGTTTCGGATCCGCGTAGTGTTTAGACGAAGAGAGTCGAAGAAGAAGAAGTCGGAGAATCGAAGTGAACCTTTCTTTTCTTTTTTTTTCTTTTTTTCTTTTTTTTTGAATCGGAGTGAACCTAGGTGATTGATTATGATGATTTCGAGTTTTATCAGCTATGGCGAATGACCAGAAGGGAAAAATTGAGAGAGAGAGAAGCGGGGTGCAGACACAAAAGAAACAGGAGAGGTGACGACTATAAAGAGAAATAGTGATGATGACCGTATTGGAGGCGCGACTGGGTAGGGGTGAAAAAGTGGAAGAGAAATAGTGATGATGATGGGGATGAGGTTCAAAGATGCAATGGACTGCGCGTGCAACCGAGAGTGGGGCGAACAAAAAGAAAAAACGCAAGGGCCAGGAGATGATAGTGAGAATGTGACGACTATATCATATCTTGGATATAGGGTATGGGTAACTGCGTCAGTGGCTGGCGGCGAGTAGAGAGTAGACGAAGCATGTAAGACGAGGAATAGAAGAAGAAGACGAAGGAGCACGAGCCTACGAAGAAGAAGAAGAAGAAGAAGAAGAAGAAGAAGAAGAAGAAGAAGAAGAACGGGACAAGCGATTATTGCGAGATCGCATTGTCAGAATTCTTATTACAGGATTATTTGTATTATTATAGTTTCTCTTTAACTTTATTTTGGCGCCTATGCTGACCGGGGTATCATCTGTTTACGATAGTGAAATGGAAATTCCCAGAAAAGGTGTTTTCTCATTTTTGTTCGAATCCGATAGAAGATGAAGACAACTAGGACGATGCAGAAGGAGAGTTAAGGCGATGGCGTAGACGACGACGATGAAGAAGAAGACGTGGTCGTGGAAATGGCGGTGTAGAAGATCATACGATAATCATGGTAATAAATAAGTATGGTGATGACGATCGAGGTGGTAATGATGATGGTGATGGTGATGATTAACGATGTCGAGCCCTAATTTTGTACTCAAGAGGGCGAGAGCCCTAATCCCGTACTCTAGAGGGCACACGTACGCGTAGAACTGAAAGGGAAGGAGTAGTACAGGGAGAAAGAGCCCATATCCCATGTAAATGAAAGGCAGGGCGGAGGGAGGAAGGAGAAGGGAGGAGGAGGATATAAGTAAAACTTACGGACGCCGAGAGTGACAGAGATGGAGGGGGGGAAAATAGAGGGAAGACGGAACAGAAAATCAATTGAAAAAAAATAAAATAAAAAAAAATTGAAAATTGATACAGGGAACATGCTCTAACATGAGGCGACGTGGCAGATCCCTAACCCACCCGCCCTCTTGTCCTTCCTCCTCCGGAATCCAATGATGTTCTCCTCTTCCTCGCGCTGCAGCGGTACATGGCAGGCAGTCATTTCCGCTTTTGGAAAAAGGAAAAGATTGTGGACAATTTCCTGATCTATGCGTGCCATCCTTTTCCTGCGTGCAGGGGCCATGGCCATATGCTAATCAAGCTTCTTTCCAATTACAGTATATAACAGATGGCGGCATCATAGAGATCACTGACGTCGGTCTGAAAGAGTGTTGGTTTTTGTATTTCTAAGCAAAAAGTCGAGACATGAAAACATGTCATGTGACCCTTAAAAGATGAGATATATCCCACTCGATCAGACATTGGAGAGCTCCTTGTCCTTTTTTTTTTTTTTTTTTTTTTGAGGAAACGTATATCTCATTTCAAACACCACTTGGAACGAGGCCGGGGACCTCACAATTCAACCCGGAGTTATCCCGGCAGCGTCAGCCGGGTTCGCTTCTGAGTCTCGAGAACCCAATAGCTCCTTGTCCTTTTGGCCAGCATCTCTACGTGGTTCTCATTCGCTCCTTCCGTCACTACCCATTTCATTCCTCCGTTCCTCCCATCCCCCCTCCCTCCCTACTTTCTTCCCTGCCTCCCCTCCCTTACCCGTCTCCCTTACCGCCCTGCCCATCGTCCTCCCTCCCTCCCTACCGTCCTTTCTCCCTCAGTCCTTTCCTCGCCGACCTTCCTCCCTCCCTTTCTCTCTCACCCATCACTACCATCACCTGACAACCCTCTTACGGTTATGGAATATGCTGCGAAAACTAGGGGTAGCGAAAAGTAAACTAGGGGTAGCGAAAAGTAAACTAGGGGTAGCGAAAAGTAAACTAGAGGTAGCGAAAAGTAAACTAGGGGTGGCGAAAACTAGGGGTAGCGAAAACGGCGCCTCGAGAAGATAGGGTTTTGCATCCTAAAAGTAATGGTTAACTGAGAGAGGGGAGAGGGGAGGGGGAGGGGGAGGTGGAGGTGGAAAGCTAATCGAACGAAGGAGCGGATGGTCATCACGTCGCTACAGCACAACCGTCAAATGAATCGGACCGTCCGCGCAACCGTCGTGATGCTGCTGCAGGACACGCTGAAATCAGGGTGCACTCACTGGAGGACTTTTCCAACCAAACCTGACCGCAATTGCGGCCAAATACGTCCAGAAAAGTCCCAGTCTGCATCCTGACACTGCATTAACCGAGCATTTTTTGGCATTAATACTTGCAGCAGCATATTCGTAATTTGAATTGTTTTCTGTTAACTTATTTAACCTTTTGGAACTTGATGAATAATAATAGAATTTATTAATGAAATATAATAATAATTATAATCATGTAATGTAATCGTAGGGTAATAATTCTTAGTTCTTGTTATTTTAACAATCGCTCCCAAATCGACACCAACGGCGACTACCGTCTTCAGCCGAATAGAACGCCCGGTCATTATAGCCGTATCTGGTGCAATTTTCAGTCCAGATACGGCTATAATTACCGGGCGTTCTATTCAAGTGAAGACGATAGTAGTTCTTATCGACGCTAATGAAGAGTTAGGGACGAACAACAACTGACAGAACTAAGGGGTTGAGTGTACTCACAGGGAGGACTAGTATTTTGGTTTGGCTGGATGTATGTAGCTGTCATGGAGTCCAGGTACGTTAGCGGCGGTCGCACCTTGCTGGCACCGAATAGGAACGTGTAGGCATTCTGATTGTATCTGGCGCGAAAAGTGTGCACTATTCTGATTTAGGACTTCGTTCCACTGCACTGGCGAAGACCACGACTCCCATCAGTACATTGTCATGGCCGTTGATGTAACGGATCTACGGCCAAGAGGGGTCAGGATTTTTTTTTTTTTTTTTTTGGACCATTTCTCGATGTATGCGTGGCATCCTCGCGCAGGCAGGGGCCATGCTAATCTTCTCTTTCTCTGTATCGTTCCAATTTTTTTAACGGATGTCCCGAAGGACGGGGTCAGGATTTTGGTTATCTTGCTTATGTCTATGGTGTGGAATGATCTCCTACCGTCTTTCTCCGAACACATTCCACCCTTATCATGATTGCATCGGACCGAAAAGATAGCTTGTATGCATGCATTCATAAGGAAGGTTCGTTATATTCGGATAAATAGGGTAGTATACGGAAGAAAACCCCCATTTACGATCGTGGCCGTTGACGTATAACGGAACTACGTGTTTTTTTTTTTTTTTTTTTTTTTTTTTAAACGGTTGTTTTTGGACGGTGCTTCTTCTCCTTTTTTTTATTTTTTATTTAACAACCAGACGGTCAATTTTTATTTCGAAATAGCCAAAATAGGGCCGTGGTCCCCACAATTCCAACCGGAGTATAACGTCTGGCAGCATCAGCCAGTTTCGCTTGTTGGTTCAACAAAAGGAAGAAAAAGGACAATACCCTCAGCAACTAAAATCTAATTACTTCCACTTCTACCCCCTGATTGAGTACTCCTAGCTACTTACAAAGGAAGAAAAAGGACAATACCCTCAGCAACTAAAATCTTGGCAATTTAAACCACCACTACCTTCCTCATATATGGGGCCGTGGCCGGGCGCCGCGGATTCAAATTATCGACGGCCGCCGGATGGTGATTTTGAAGGAGTAGGCTACGACGTCGCCCACGGCCCAACACTGTGAAAGGTATAGTGGTGGT